TAAACTACCAACGGTTCGTGCACTTGCGAGTATCACAAGTTGAGGATGCAACTGAATCCATTTTGGTGCAGCTGAATCTACACAACAACAACAATCCAAGAAAGATTGCAATGCTGAATATCAAGATGTGGGCTCCACTATTTACTATTTACAACAGTTCACAATAGGCCGTGACTTGTTCCCAAGCTTAAAACCCTTCAGACCGCGAAAAAAAAAAAGGGCTTAAAACCCTACCAAAATCGGAGTTCGCTAGCATTCGACACAAAAGGAAGAAATGTCAGTTTCTGAGGAAAATGCCAATATCCGAGACCACCATCGCCGGTTGCTGGCGGCGAAATACGAGCTGAGACGAAATCTGTACAAGGCCCTCTGCAAGGACCCAAGCCTTCCCAGCGACCTGCGCGAGGAGAACCGCTTCAAGCTCTCCAAGCTGCCCCGAAACAGCTCCTTCACGCGCGTCAGGAATCGCTGCATCTTCTCCGGCCGGGCACGCGCCGTCTACGAGACCTTCCGTATGTCCCGTATCGTCTTTCGTACTCTGGCCTCTAAAGGCATGCTCAATGGCATTAAGAAAGCGTCTTGGTAGCCACCGAACCGGTGCGTTTCTAAGTTCTTCGTCTCCATTGCTTTTATCTTTGTTTGTTTGCAATTTTTGTGTTTCCGGAAATGGGTTTTTAAGAAATTGAAATGGTGTTTGTTCGGAGCTTCATGTCCGTTAAATTTCATGTTTGTTTTGTTGCTATTTTTTCGATTTATTTATCTGCCATTTTTTGGTTTCCTTAAATGCCTTTCATATGAAATCGAGACGCAAGTGCTGAGGACATGACGAAAGTGTTTAATTGGGAAATGAAAATCTTCGTAGCTACTAAAATGCTAAGTTTTAGAGTAGATGAAGTTGTGTTGTTAGAGCTGGAGAGTTTCAATGTGTAACAGGAGTTTGGGTTTCTTGGCTTGTTAGAGCTAGAGAGTTTCAATGTGTAACAGGAGTTTGGGTTTCTTGGCTAGTATGACAGTGACGCATCTATATTGAAATTTTGTTTTCTTTGTGAAAATGCGTCTTTAAGTTGATTTTTTACATGAATTGGCTGGCCAATTTTATGTGGTTTTGCTCAAATAAAGGTTAAATGCCTTTGCCTGTGAAGTCTAATTCTTGTAAGAGGAAATTGCCAATCACGGTGTCAGTTATCCTAATTCTTGTAAGACGCAAGTGCTGTTGGAAAAATGTTGAAAGGTTGTTGACCCAGGCTCAGAAATCGGTCATCTTGGATTTCAATAATCACCATTTCTAGAAACGTTTTGTAGTATCTGAGAAGGAGCGAATCGGAACGGAGAATGAACTGATGGTCAATTAACTTTTCAACAACTAAGGAAGAAATTGGATGTGATAGATACAATTTTGCAGATGTAACTTTTGAAACAAGGAAAGGCCCTTCTAGTTCGAAGGTCACTATAATTGGCAGTTCTTATGACATTCTTCAAGAGTAGAAAGGTCAGGAAGAGCAGGGTTTTTAGTACATGGTCACTGACTCGTAGTTCAGTGCAAGGTCCAGTGTTGACAGGCAAGAATAGCAAACTGGTTGCAAAAAGAAATACAATAAAGGAGTTCTTGTACCTACCCCTTATTTTGTTACTTTTTTTCTCTGCCACCAACAATTGCTTACAAAGAAGTCTCTGGAATCAGATATAATGGCTTCTAATGCTAGATGTGCCTGAGACTTACTTCTCTCGTAGATTTTTTTTTTTCTTCAAAGTACAAATCATTTGTTCTTTGGTTGCTCTTCCGCAGGTAAAGTTTAAGTTAGAAAATTTTCATTTCTGTAAATTAGGCAGGCAGCAAAGAGATTGAGTCCTAAGTAGTGACTTCACCTTCTCTGTGGGTTGCATCAGTCGCTCATGTTTATCATGTGGAAAGAGAGGCATGCATGGATGCATCTGAGTCTGACTATGTACCAAGATGGGCATGCTGTTGTCCAAGAAATAGTGGTAGTTATCAAGTATAAGATTAGCAATATTGATAAAGTTAGAAGTACAAGCTTATAACGGGTTTCTAATTATTTCAGTCTTTTTCCTGTTTTTGTTTGTCCTGTTTGATCTGTATTACAGTTCAGTCAGTCAGTCTACGTTGATCTATTATTTTGCTGCTTTAGCAATTTGGTTTATGTATCTGATCTACTTTTGGCACGTTTGTTAAATAATTTATTAGTTATCCAGACAAAGAATCTTGCTGTAAATAAGTTTTTCGCAGTTCACTGTTGGAATTAAAACCATACCTTGTTTTCTCGTTAGTGCTAGTTCGTGCTTTACGTAAGAGTTGATGATTTTACTTACCATGTAGGTTTTCCTGGTGCTTTAAATTGCACCTCTGCTCAATTGGTGGTTGTGAACTCCAGCAGGCCCATAGCCTGTGCAGATTATGCTACTACACAGGGCCCCCAAAAATCAAGGGCCTCCAAAGAAAGAAGACAAGACAAGGAAAACCTTGAAATCTTGGAGTTGCAGAGCCACAATTGCGCGAGGAAGAAGACGACTGTGTGCTGATGTTACTTTTAGGTTTCTCTCTCATATTAAACGGCCCCGTTTATGACTTATTTTGATTTTAAATTGAAACGGGGCGTTTTGTTACTTTTTAGTATAGTTTAATCCTATTCAATTGCAACCAAATAAAAAACAATTAAAAAAAAATGAGACGGTGGTGCTCTGCATCCCTACCTCTCATGTCACCTCATGTTATTTAGTTCTGATTGGGCTTTGACTCTAAAACCTTACTATTGTTATTATTTTATTGTCTTATTATTTTTATTTTATTTTCAGTTTTTCAAAAGGCACATAATTGACTGGGCTGTAACTCTAAGTAAGGAAAAAATTCAGTTCTATTTGTGAATTGTGAATTTTTGTTTTTTTATTTATAAAAATAGGTCCTTAATATTTCTCATTGTATAAGCCCTCCAAAATGAATGGACCGGCAAAATAACTCAGCCAAAGTATGTTTGTTGTGTTGCGTGGTGCACATCTGGCCAAAATGACGTCGTTTTGAGCCAGTCAAAAAAAAAGAAAGAGAGAGGAGTAAACCGGATTGCAATTCATGGACTTTAAACACACGCTTAGGCCTGCATTTCGTGAGCTATAAAAAGTCTTAAAACATGTTTTTCTTTCTTATTCAAACAAGGATTACAAAAGGTTTTTAAAAAGAAGGAAATCAATTGGTTCTATTGCTACTTTTTTTTTTCCTTTTTTTTTTTTTGTGTGTTTCTTTTTCCCCCCTTTTTTGGTAATCTGCTTCTTATTTTATTTTTTCTGATTTGGCTCTTATGATAAGTATTCAATAGCAAACTCGAGGAAGAAGAGTCTCTGCAACGTACGACTCATGATATGATCAATTATGATTTGTTTATTTTCAATTTATTTTTATAAAGCTTTTATCCTTTCAAAATTGCATCTCCGCTAAATAATTCCTGGGTCCGCCAGTGTTCTACGTTGATCTATTATTTTGCTGCTTTAGCAATTTGGTTTATGTATCTGATCTACTTTTGGCACGTTTGTTAAATAATTTATTAGTTATCCAGACAAAGAATCTTGCTGTAAATAAGTTTTTCGCAGTTCACTGTTGGAATTAAAACCATACCTTGTTTTCTCGTTAGTGCTAGTTCGTGCTTTACGTAAGAGTTGATGATTTTACTTACCATGTAGGTTCTCCTACGAGCTTAGTATTTTTCTTCTTTTTTTCTTTTTTTTGCAGGTGGCTGATGATACTACAAAAGTTAGTATAAGTTGTTCTATTACAATGCTATACCTTGGTTAATTACAAACCGGTCATTCTCTCCTACTTTGGTTATTGGAGAAAAAGTGTACACTTATTGGTGTTGAATAAAAGGTTTTAGCGAACAATTTGAAAGTTGAGCTTATTTTTGTATGACTGGATGATATATAATATTGTACTAGTTGTTTTCTGCGTTGAAGTATGGGAAACTAGAGTCTAGAGTTGCCCGAACGATTCGTGTGTAAAGTAACATGAGAATGAGTCACCATGCTGGGCTGTTACGAGGTGCCTTGGGCCAAATGAGCAAACTATTTAAGGTATAATCTGAAGATAAAGTATACTCGTCCTATGAATTTATCATTTATACTATGAGAAGTTTTTTGTTTACAAAAACATCTAGGATTTTTTTTATCAAGGAGACATTATGGCTAATGGTAGACCTACCATGGTACGCGTTCAACTGTGATCTAATCATTTCCCGCCATCGATTCTCTATCTTTGCGTGCACTATTTCGAGTTACCTAGTACTAGTAGACTGAATCAGGAAAGTTTGGCATAGGGGAGAGAATGAATGAGCATGGGATTAAATATTGCCCATAATAATTCTCGGTTTTTCAGGTATTGGATTACTAAATTTAATGTCGAATCAACATAATCTTTGATTCCTTATGTGCTAGTAAACTTTGGGGAAGTTAGGAATTGGGATTATTTAGATACTCATATATTTATAAATGTAGATAAAGTCAATAAAGTCAATAAAGTCAATAATTCAAATAATTCAAATACCTGTTCCATGTAAATAAACATGCCATCAAATTGTTTCATTTTTAAAATTTCACTGGTCTACAAGAAGCTGCATGATGACTGACGGGTTGGCTAGCTGGGCCTTATATGTGGATCTTTAGCCAACATTTTTTGGGATGGTAGTTGAGAGGATTAGAAGAGGTTATTAGGCCTGTACTTGTTTTAGCTCCCCATTCTTCCAAACAAACAACATATGTTTAGCTCGCATTATACCCAACAAGAAAAGAAATAAAATAAAATCACTTCATCTTTACCGTCTAAACTCGGATGTTAAACCTTATGAGAATGATCTTTATTGATTCGATTAGTTGTATGTTGTTGTCATAACTTGCACAGTTGTTACACATATACGTAATCCATTGTTCAGAGACAAATGTAGCTAGTTATAACTGAATAGGTTCATTAAAATGAATTTGCTTGAAATGAACAATAATATTATTCACTAGCAACAAATGTAGTGGCAATTGCTCCCTCATGCAAAGTCCTAGGTTCGAGTCCTACCATCAATGTAGCCAGGAACGGATCTACAAAGGAGCAAGGGTGGTCAAGTGACCCCTGCAACCTCTGAAATCTGCCATTGAAGAGGAGAAAACTGACCCCTGCTGATGAAAGTCCCCAAAGAGCCAGAGTCTGCTTCTCCAGCGCGCTTCCCCTTTTCTTTTTTTCCTCCTCGACGTCAAAACGACGTCGTTCTACTAATGTCTTTTTTCTTTTTTTACAAACCTGGCCAAAACGACGTCGTTTTGGCTCAGGTTTAAAAAAAAAAAAAAAAAATTGGGCGCAGATTCTGTTTAACACAGAGAGCCCGATACCTCCCCTCCCCATATCAGTTTCAGCTCCATTTTGAACCCTAAATCCCCAAACCCCTCATCATATTGAACCAATCTTCACCCAATCCGACGAACGGCTTCTCTAATCCACCCATCCGGCACCGGCGACAGCGATACCTTCAAAGTGGCGGCAACAAAGCAAAAAAATCAGCCCCAAATTCAATTTGATTTCAAAGTTGAATTTGTCTTTCAACATGCTTCAAGGACAAATTCCAAGGTTCGGGATTTAAAGGTTAGTTGCTTATTTGTTTACTAGCTTTCCCAAACAGTTATTAAGTTGTTTTTGCTTAGTTCTCACATTTCGTAACAATTTCACATTTCGTAGCAGTTATTAAGTTGTGTTTGCTCTTCACTATTCCTGATACCACAGATTTGAACATAGATGCCCTATTATCTGAAATAATTCTTTTTTGTTTTTTTATTGTGATACAATGGGAAATTCAATAATTGAATAATGTATTGTTGGCTGTTGCATGAGAAACCGGGCAAAAACTGAAAACTGTGATAAGAATATGTTTTGGATTAGTTTTTATGTTTGTTAATTTATGAAGATTCTTAAATATTATTGTTTTATTACTTGTTGGATTAGTAATGTGGTTTTTTCTATTAATTATGAATTATAAATTATCTTTTCATTTTTATGAGTTTATTTTTGTATAGAAAGTTTTTACCCTTTTAGACATTGACCCCTGTAAGGAAAATTCCTGGATCTGTCCCTGAATGTAGCGTGTGTAAATTTAGTATATTATCGCCCCTCTCAATGAAAAAGGTCCTAACAAACGAATAATTAGGATAAATAGTTAAGGATCCCATTTCATCACACAAAGATTCTAATTAATGGGCTTCACTATTTTATTGAAATCATAAAACAACAAACACTTAATTAAACAGTGCATGTTGTTGTACAAAAACATTGTCTAGGACAACAAAGTTTTAACCAAGCATATAAAACGTTGGACAATAGTAATGTCGTACAATTAGTAAAGTTAAATTATAAGCAGTTATTAGTTGGAAATGTATTGTAACTTAAGTAAGTTGAAGAAACTCTCGTCTTTAAAATCAAGAGGAATTAAGGTGTTTATGTATTTATGAGATATTAAGGCGTTTTCATATTCCAAATAACTCGGACCATAGCAAACTCTTATAAATAAAGAAACTCTTAAAACTCAACTCCATCAAAGAATTCTTTGCCTTTCCGTCAAAAAACAAAAACTAACTTGTACCAAAAAGCACTATGGCCGCACTAAATATGTACCCAATGTTGGTCATTTTGCTTTTGGTGAGCCCATCAAGAATGATTTTCACAACTTTTGCAATTCCAACTTTTGAGATATCTAATTCGAAAATCTGGGATGAATGTAAAAAACATATCTCCATTAACTGCGCTCGAGAAGTTGGTGGAAGTATTTTCGAAGGTGCCATTGTAACAGATGGTTGTTGCCATAAGCTTGTGTCTGTAGGCAAAAATTGTCATGCTTTATTCTTCAACTCTACTCTTGCGTCTATACCCAATGTTGATAAATCTAAAGCTTTGGCAAAGAGTACACAAGTTTGGAATCGATGTGTTGAAATTGCACTCTCCCCTACATCTTCTATCACAATTCCAAACACAAAGGCTTCAAAATCGAAAAAAGTGGATGAATGTAAAAAACATATCTCCACTAAGTGCGCTCGGGAGGTTGGTGGAAGTATTTTCAAAAGTGGGAGTGTAACATATGGTTGTTGCTATGAGCTTGTGTCTGCAGGCAAAACTTGCCATGATCTATTCTTTAACTCTGTTCTTGCCTCCAAACCCGTTGTCAACAAATCTAGAGCTTTAGTAAAGAGTACACAAGTTTGGGACCAATGTGTTGAAATTACAATTTCTCCCGCACCTTCTATTGCAATTCCAACCACAAAGGCATTAAATTCAGAGACCTTGGTTGAATGCAAACATATCTCCTTTAATTGCGCTTGGGAAGTTGGCGGAAGTATTTTTGATGGTGGGATGGTAACAGGTGATTGTTGTGATGATCTTTTGTTTGAAGGAAAAAACATGCCGTGATATATTCTTCAATGCGACTCTTTTATTAAAACTCGATGTTGAGAATCCTAGAGCTTTAGCAAAGAGTACACAAGTTTGAAACTGATGTATTGAAATTACAGTTTAGAACTCGGGGACCAAATTAATAAGAAATTATGTATGAGATATATGCTATGTTAAAGTATCATTTTTATTTAAATGTTTATTACCAAAAAAAAAAAATGACTTCAACATGTTGTTTCGTTACGAACTCAATTTTGTTGTAATTATGGTTCTTCAACAATTGAGTACAAAATAGTACTATTTTCCACAGCAACCAATGACTCCATTCCGTTCTTTGTGAGGTTCAAAATATTATGAACCCTTTTTTCTCACAAAATAAGTTTACTCATGTATCTTTTTTTTTTTATATAAGTATCTTTGTCCGCATCATCAGCATTTCTTCGTCCTCATCTTACTATTTTGCATATGGTTTATTATCGCAAAACGTCCCTAAGGTTTACGAAACTATCAGATTGCATCCTTAATATTTTTTTTTGTCATTCGTGGTCCTCAAGGTTAGTATGTGTGATCACAAATGGTCCCTGCCGTTAGGTTCCGTCAAAAACTCCGTTCGTTTGATGATGTGGTATATATATATATATCACAAAACATCTCTGAGGTTCACGCACCTATCACAAATGGTCCCTACGACAAATTTTATTTTTTTAATTTAAAATTCATAAATTTTTGGTTTTTTTGAAAAAAAATTTATGAATTTTAAATACATGCGACACTATATTATTGTAGGTGTGGGCTCCATACATTTGACACATCAACAAACTAATGGAGTTTTAAAAATATAATTTAAAATTCATAAAATTTAAAAATGAAAAACTAAGGGTTTAGGGTTCATAAATGGTCCTCAAGATTAAAATCCTTCTATAAATGATTTTTTCATTTATAAATAATTTTAAAAAGAAAACCAAAATTTTATGAATTTTAAATTAAAAAATTAAAAAATTTCGTAGGGACCATTTTTGATAGGTGTGTGAACCTTAGGGATGTTTTGTGATATATATATGACACGTCAGCAAACTAATGGAGTTTTTGACGGAACCTAACAGTAGGGACCATTTGTAATCGCACATACTAACCTTGAGGACCACAAGTGACACAAAAAAACATTAAGGATGCAATATGATAGTTTCGTAAACCTTAGAGACGTTTTGTGATGTTAATCCTTTTGCACATTGTAGATCAGAAACACTCAATCAGTCCAATCGACAACGAAAGAAGGCTTAAATATATTTGGAATATTTTATTCATGTACGCTAAATAAGCGTCCTCGTGTAATTAATTGTCACAATACTATCACAATTCGTTTTACCTAAAATTCTGTAGCTACTTTTTGCAAAGCTAAAATATGTCAAGTGGGATTGACATGGTATGTACAGGAATTGTATTCTTTTCATGCTTATTTACTGTAGTGCCCCTGAAACGATGGTGAAATCTCAATTTACCCACTGAAACTAAAAGTGACCCAAAACTACACCATTGACCGGTGGTTTGCATCTCACTTAACCCCTTGTTGTCAAGTTCGTCAAAAATTCTATCAAAAATGCTGACGTGGCACAATTGACACGTAAGTGCCCCGTGTGAAAAAATCAATAAAATATTTTCTTTT